CAGCCACTCTCTCGAAAAGTATACAGGGTGTATCTAAATAACACCAAAAAAATTCAAGGGGTGATTCCTTGGAGATACGCAAGTACCAAAACATTCTCTTCGATTTCACTTTCTTATTATACATTTCGCATATATTATCAATGAAAAATTCTGATACAAACGAAAATTGTTTGAATAATTCTGATACAAAATTCGAAAATGACAGTTGACAGCTCCTACAATTGACTGGCCAGACATGTCTCAAATTACTGAAGCTGTGTTTAATGAACTGTGTTGCCATGGTAATGTGTTTAAGAAATCGTGTTGCCATGGTAACGTGTTTAATATTTTGAATAAATCACAGATCGTCAATCCGTGATTGATGGATCATTTAGCGTGGTACGTATCCGTACGCCAAATGCCCTTTTAGTTATGTGAGTAGAAAAAGAAACATTAATTTGGAGGCAATGGGCAATGTTTGTGGGATGACACAGGATGTTCTGGAAATTGAATAGAATGAAATATCCTAGCAATACGAGAAACTTTTTTCGGGTGAAGCTTCTAACATCAACGAATATATTTTTTGTCATCGTTCATTATTTGGATAGCTAACTCAGTCAAGTACCTATGTACTCGATGTGTACCTACCTCTTTAATCTTATCATGAATATTCAGCATTTATTTCAAATAATGGTATTATCTCAATATACCTACTTGTATAGTGAGGGCATATTACATGTTCCTGCTATAAAAATTCAACTATTAGAAAAATGGGAGAAAAGAAAAATTCAGTCGATAGTCAATAAAAACAGCCCTTTTTGACATAAAAATGGAAGATAATTCTTGAGGTTGATCTTCTCATTTTCGTCTTTTGACACTTCTCAGTGACATCAGCTGTCAGAAAGTTTGAGATATAAAGTTATTTTTGTAATAATTGATCTTGAAATTCACCATTTTGACACTTAGATTCCAGGAGTGAACACAATGTTTTATACACTATATACTGGTTTACCACTAACCAAACCAATTTTTTTGTACGTCACGACATGTGTTTTGCTAACCAGGTTATCATCTTCAGGAGAAGATTGAATAAAATTAGTTTCAATCTTCTCCTGAAGATGCTTACATAGTTAGCGAAAACTAATTTTATTTAATCTTCTCCTGAAGATGCTAACATAGTTAGCGAAACACGTGTGTTCCAGTCTCCGATATACCATGTTTTAATATTATTGTCTCCGTTCAGAAGAATGCAAGAGGATTCTTTGATTTTTTGTTGTTGTTGTTGTTATCTTCGCTTTCTATGATTTTATTATCATCCCACTTCCCCATATGTTGTCCATTCTCAGTGAGGGTATGTTCAGCTAATTTTTCAATGTTTCAAATGTCACTATAATGTTTAAACTGTTCAACCAAATAGAACATAAAATGGGCATTCAGGAAAGAATCACTTGCATCAGTTTTCGTTTATACGAGTCGATGCATAGATTTCGGGAGGATGTAATTCAATTTTCTGCGTGGGATTAGCCAGGAAAGTAGTTGTTTTTCACCAGAAATCTTCCATTGTTTTTTATTTTATGAACATTGTGTGGAAATGACTTCAAGCTTTTTGTATTTATTTTACTGAAATAATTAAATTGATTGCAAATAAATGGGCTAGCGTATAGATTTTTGGATCATGCACCTACAATCACACGGTATATTGCAAGAATCTGAAACCTAAATTCTTCATTGTGTGAATGATTTTGATGAATATATACAGTGTGTTACAAGTTGAGTCACCCCATCCCTGTACAGTGTGTCCAGTTTTCGATGCTTTTGCGTGATATCTCAGTTATCTTTCGAGATAGAACCTTGCGGTTTTCGCGGTCCTGTACCACTTTTCTGTGAAACTCAAGATGGCCTTATCAGATTTTGCTTAACTGTTTGCGTTTATGAGATACAGGGCGATTTTGAAAATTTATACTTTTTGGACCCCTTCTATATCTACGAAGTTTCTCAGCGAAAATGTCAAATTGGAATCTTATCCCATACAGAATTTTGCGCAGAATTCAGTGGCGTACTCAATTTTTTTTTTCTGGGTATGGTTTCGGAGATACGACTCAAACTTATGATTTTTCAAATGGAACACCCTGTATTTCATAAGCTCATTAAATTCTTTATTTTTTCCCCATCGAAATGAAATATGATGAATAGGTATACAATTTTCAAAAATGCTCCAAAATCACTAAAACATTGAATTTTAATTATGGGCTATGGATTTTTTATTTTAAAAAAGTTCCAATTGAAGGGATATTTCATTTGATTCTTCCATGGAAAGGACAAAAACAATCCCAACACTAGTTGATTAAGATAACTCAAAAATTAGGTACCTGATAACAACAAATCAATGGTATTAAAAAGTTCATATTCTAGAATAAGCACCTAATTTAATATTCACTAAGACAATTGAATTTCGAAATTAATCAATAACTTATTCATTGAATTGTTCAAATTGATGTCCACTTCCCCTCACACGCTTTCTCAATACGTCTTAATGCAATCAAAATCATTAAAGGATGTCTTTGTAATTCATGGAAAACTGCCTCTGTTGTGCCTCTTACTGTATCAAGACGTATTGAGAAACTGTGTCAATTGTGTTTTATGGAAAATGAACATCAATTTGAACAATTCAGTGAATGAGTTATTGAATAATTTCGAAATTCAATTGTTTTTGTGAATATTTAATCTGGTGCTTATTCTACATTATGAACTTTTTATTACTATTTATTTGTTGCTATCAGGTACATAATTTTTGTGTTTTCTTAGTTAATTAGTGTTGGTATTGTTTTTGTCCTCTTTATGGAAAAATCGAAATGAATATTCCTTCCATTGGAACTTTTTCATAAGAAAAATCCATAGCCCAATATTAAAATTCAATGTTACAGTGATTTCAGACCATTTTTGAAAGTTTCATATACATAAATTATATATCATTTTGAAGAGAAAACAATGAGGATTTTTATGAGCTTATAAAATACAGGGTGTTCCATTTAAAAAATCATAAGTTTGAGTCGTATCTCCAAAACCATACCCCGAAAAAAAATTTTGGGTGCGCCACTGGATTCTGCGCGAACTTTTATATGGGATGAGATTTCAATTTGACATTTTTGCTGAGAAACCTCGTAGATATAGAGGGGGTCCAAAAAGTATAAATTTTCGAAATCGCCCTGTATCTCATAAACGGAAATAGTTATGCAAAATCTGATTAGGCCATCTTGAGTTTCACGAAAAAATGGCACACGACCGCGAAACCCGCAAGGTTCTATCTCCAAAGATAACTGAGATATCCCACAAAAGCATCGAAAACTGGACACACTGTACTTTCGTATTCCTAGGACGATTTAAGAATTTTTTTCTCTCATAATAAACTACTAAGAATCATTTACTTTGTCGAGCAAATAAAAATCAATCATAGTTTCTAGCCTACTGATACGATCACAGAAACTCCAACAAAACCAAAGAAAACAGAAGATGCATCTTTTTTTCAAAAATTTTATATCAATTCGATTCGGACTAGTCACAAATACTCCTAACATTCTCAAAAATTGTAACGTTGATAAAAAACACCCCATATGAGATATTGTATTGAAAATTAATATAGGAGTATTTGTGACTAGTCCGAATCGATTGCCATAATCAAAATGTTTGTAAAAAAATCCTGCCTGATCCGTTCTCTTTAATTTTGCTGGAAGAGTTTTCATGATTGCAATACAGGCCAAAAAATTGTGTTAGATACTTTGTTTCGCTCGACAAAGTAGTTAATTTAGAGTAGTATATTAGGAATACGAAAGTAGGGGAGAGCGGGGGAATGGGTCCCCAAAGCATTTTTTTCTATAAGTAGATTATAGTTTGTGGCAATCGATCACAAAAACAAGGCCCCAAATTGACGAATATCAAGTCTATGTTGATGAAAATTTGTTGAATATATGAATAAGAAACAAAAACAGTTTTTTTTCACGGAATAAATAGAAAAAAGTTGGATAGCTACGATAACCCTAGATAGACGGGGTAATAGTGGCAGATTATCACAATGGCCCCAAATATTTGAATAAGTAATTCAAATGCAATAATCACAAGTAAACATTTTGTTTTTAGTATCAGCACACGATTTATGTGCCCTATTACCAAATATCTATATTTTTCCCGTATTCGCCACACGCTAAACATATAGACCCCTTTTTTCAAAAAACAGGGGTGAAATTAGATGTGTCCATAGACGTAGAATGAGAATGAAGATTCATTTCCTTCAAATATTTTATAATAAATGTTCGACACACTTATTTGAAATATCGAAAACTACGCATTCCCAGACCGAGAATACATAGTTCCCAATATACAGAGTGTAGAGTGTGTCAAACACGTGACAAGAAATATTTGAAGGAATTAATCTTCATACCTATTCTATGTCTATGGAAATTGATCGCGCATTTATTTTCACCCCAGTTATTGAACGAATTTTTTGGCACAAATTTATGCAATAAATTGGTATTTACTTTTTCCATGGAAATGAAGCAAATTATCAAATCAACTCAAGAAACCAAAATGTTGCATCTTCAGTTGGTCAATAGGTTGTGAAGATACAGAATTCAAAAAAAATCAGTGGCTCACATTTTCTTGACAATAATATTCGGTAGGTTGGCCCCCGGGACGCCACTGAATTTCATAATCGCAATTGAATTATGGCTATAGCCCCTCATGACAAAAAATATCATTGCTAAATTTCAGGAAAATCGGTGAAAGCACATGAGATATTCATAAAACACCGATCTTTTTTGAAAGCTTTAACACACTGTATGTTGAAAACTATGCATTTCCGGACCCACGTACATATACAATGAATTTTTTATTTCATCATGTAAAATCACCCCCTTGATTTTTTGCGCATAATTTCCGGACAACCTGCATTTACATATTATGACTATAGTTTCTCTGAATAGGAACTATTCACTATATTCAAATCTCAAAATTCACGACTAACCCACCTAGCACATTGAAATTCAGGAAGCTTTCGTCCAATCTGATGGTACTGCTCAGCAAATAATCGGTACCATCCATTTCTCCATCGGAAATTGATATTTCACCAGGACTCAACGAATAGTACGAAGATGGCATCATGAAATCCACCGAACACTCAGCACTTTTTAGCTTATTCGCGAACAAATGACCTAGAAGGATCAGCACATCTGAGACCACAGCCGATTTGAACTAGTTACCTAAATAATTACCAGTTTTGGAATAAACGCCGAATAGGATCTGGATCTCCCTCCATATTTCGTATTTGTGTAAGAATTCGTTATCAGTTGAGTGATAAGACGGTCTTCAACAAAATATTCCGATTTAATTGTTTGATTGGTAGGTTTGGTTTGGTCGGTTAATTTAAGAATATACCATGTTATTATTAGAAATCTTTGTTAATACGATACGGGTACTCGTATTTCTCTTTGAATATTGGCGAAAATTTCACAACTAACATTTTCGACCACATAAAATCCTGTATTTTGTATCATTACCATAGCAACTAAACTAATTTATGATTTTTTTCCTCTTCCTCGGAGGAAGGAGCACGAAATTACACTGGATTTTTTTTTACGTTTATTGGTAAAATGACAGATTACGTCGAATTCATTCTATGAGTTGATGAAGTTCCTTGTTCCTCGTAAGAAAATATATTTCTACCAATTTTTGTTAAAGGATTTTCTAATAAACTGAGGGATTGAGCTACTGTCGACTCATTTTTTATTATTTCATTTAACTAAAGTCGTTTCATCATATTTCATTCAAGCTGTGAAGTGACTTTGTTCGACTCGCAAATTATGCTTTCGCTCGGCTTCGCTAAACGCTCCGCCTCGCAAATGCAAAATTCGCTTGTCAAACAAAGTGTCACTTTTGATCCTAATAAAACAATCTACTATTTTCTACAACCGACACGAAAGTCGTCCGTTTTAATACCAAAATTAGCACTTGAATTGACGTTTTTATTACTGACACAAACATAGGTATATGTTGCTAGGCAACACTTTTAGTTCCTAGGAGTTAAAGTTGAACTTAAGCTCCTAGGAACTAAGAAGGATATAGTAGGTCATCAAGAATAAACAACATTGTTAGGGTTGGTTATTTGGGTTGGGAAGCATACCTGATTTGTTTCACCTGATTTGTTTCCAATTTCGGCAGATTTGGCATTTTATACCCATGCTGGAGATATAAATACACCATAATATAGTTCAGTATTTTTGTTTTGATCAGGAAAGCCTTCAAGATTCACATTCTTGCTCGATCTGTAGTTCATTCGGGATCTGATTGATTGGATAACTTGTTTTTGAATAATCACGGCCAGCAATAACTTCTTGTCTCACATGATATTGTTTACCTTCATTTGATTACCGAGCCAAACACAGTGAAATGTGGAATATGGAGAGAAACAAATAATCGCTATCATTTTTGTTGATATGCTCACTAACCTAACATTTTCCATTTCTTTTCCACTGGTGCGGTATTTGCTATTAGGGCTGACACCTGGTCCAAATGAATTCATCGATTCAATAATTCAATTGTAACAAAGTAAAGTAGTCATATTATTATAATAATCTGTCAAGTGAGTCACATTTTGGTTGTTCACTTATATTTATTTTAGTTAATTCTTTCCATGGCAGAAAAAATAGCATGTTTGATTCCAATAAAACAATCTACTGTTATTCTGTACTTTAGGAAAGCACTGTATTTTATAGAAGTGAAATTATCTGGATAATTATAGGGAAATCACTTTTGCTGATCATCATATAATTGTTCGACACGCTTTAACAATCTTGATTAAACAGACCTGTTATCAGTAGAATATTCATTGATTTACTGCTTGAAATTCGATATACGATGGGAGACGTGATTTTTCTTATAATAATAACTATATCGATAACTAACACAATGAAATCATTGTTTTTATAGGTAAGGAAGTGAACTTGATGAAATACAATGTAACTTGGTGTTTTATCAAACGGACAGTTTTGCTTCATAGCCCTGTAGAAATAGTACATTGTTTAATTAGGATCAAATGTGACACTTTGATTGACAAGCGTTATTTGCGTTTGCGAGTCAAACGGAGTCACTTTTGATCCGAATGAAACATGCTATTTTTTCTGCAATCGAAATAATTGATATTTAATTTAAAGAATATGAGTGAAAATACCACTATTTTGAGTCACTTGAGCGTGTTAGTGTGAAAGCAGCTATCACATCAGCTGTCATCAGACACGTTTTTAGTTCCTAGGAGTTAAACTTCAACTTTAGCTCCTGGACACTAAAAGTGCAACATACATACTAATCATTTCATTGTGTTAGTAAGAGAAAAGTCGACTTCAAGAGCTAATTTCGGAACAAAAAAGGACGATTTTTGAACCGTATTGCAGAAAATAGTAGATTGTTTTATTAGGATCAAAAGTGACACTTTGTTTGACAAGCGAATTTTGCATTTGCGAGGCGGAGCGTTTAGCGAAGCCGAGCGAAAGCAAAATTTGCGAGTCGAACAAAATCACTTTTGATCCGAATGAAACATGATATTTTTTCTGCAACCGAAACAAATAACTCAAATAAATATGTGAAGTTACCACCAATACCGTGCCATATGTATGCAATGCAACAAATATTGAAAAATAATCCGTGTGGTGAGAACATTCTACCTGCATCAACAGCAGGTTCATTCAATTTTCAAGGATGTTCGAATTGTAGTTTCAATATAAATACAATCACAGAGTGACATATTTGTGTATGGACCAGGTGCTCTAATGGCAAATACCGCGTCAGTGCCAGCTATAGAAACAAGACTTGGAAAATGTTAGGTTAGTGAGCACATCAACAATAAGAAGAGCAATTATTTTTTCCTCTCCGTAATACAATGTTTGTCGCTTGATAATCAAATGAAGGTTAACAATATCGTTGTTTGAGACAGAAAACTATTGCTTGCCGTGATTATCCAAAAACAAGTTATCCATCCCGAGAATAACGAATGAAATACAGATCAAGCAAGTATTTGAATCTTGAGGGCTTCCCTGATCAAAACAAAAATACTCAACTGAGATGTTAATAATTCCAATACTAAACTATAATAAGGTGTATTTATATCTCCAGCATGGGTATGAAATGCCAAATCTGCTGAAATCGGAAACGAATCAGGTATGCGTCTCAACCCAAATAACCAACCGTCACAATGTTGTTTATTCTTGATGACGCCCAGTAGATCCTTTTCAGTTCCTAGGAGCTAAAGTTCAACTTTAGCTCCTAGGAACTAAAATTCAACTTTAGCTCCTAGGAACCAAATATGTTGACTAGCAACATACCTATTTTTGTGTCAGTAATAGAAACGTCAATTTAAGAGCTAATTTTGGTATCAAAATGGACGACTTTTGTGTCGGTTGCAGAAAAAAATATTTTCCATCATCTCACCAATTATTTGAACTTGCTGTTCTTCCGGAATGGTCGGATGACCTGGGGGCTTTTGTTCTGTACACTACCGGTAGTTGTAAATTTGGATACAAGTTCCCTTAAATATTTTCTACAGATAGGACGATTTGGGAAACGATCATTAATAATTCTTTCGGTTTCGTGAAAGTTACGCGTCGCAACGTAAATAAAAATCCTAGTCGCCATCTTGAAATTTTCATCTGTCAATTCTACTCCAAAATATAGTATTCATGCACCAACTTTATCACCCCAAGTTTCAATTTTTTCAGTTGACCCGTTCAAAAAATAACAGGGGGGAAGGCATTGAAGAAAAGCACTGTATATTGTTGTTTCAACATATTCCCTTTCTGAAAAACTGAAAATTTTGTCACTTGAATGGAATAACACGAGGAATAACATGATCATTTCAATCGATAGATTGTGTTCATCAGAGAAGATATTGTATTATAGCAACAAAATAGTCTTTGTTCATTAACCAAAGCTTGCCGTTGATTTGATTCAATAAATAATTATATCAAATTAATTATAAGTTGAAAAGTGACAAAAAAAATTGTTGCAGTACAAAATATTTGGTCGTGGATATATGACACTCAGATTTTGCCGAATTACAGATTTTTTGTTGATTCAAAGAGAAAAAATATTGTTTTCAGTGTAGGGTCTGCAATAAACAAATTGTATAGGCCTCGGTATGGGCTTAGCCGAGGGTATTTTCTTGGTTATCCCCTGGGTCTCCAATATAGATAAGATAACCCTATATTTTCTCAATATATTAAAGAATCAATCTGTGTAACTAAAAATTATCAATTATCAGAGCACCTCTAACCTTTCTGATAACAGGAAATTTCACATTCCAAAAAGTGTGTTTACCGAAAAAATATCGAAAATAAAGTTAGGGCTAAGTTGCAGTTGAATTGAATCATCATAACATAGCTCCAGCAATAAACATACGCCGCCGCTCCATCTGAAGTTCAAATGAACAGACTACGAGTGGCTCTTGAAACACCGTGAAACACCACACATGGATGTCGTCTAGATTAGAGATTACCCAACACAGAAAAAAAAGTGTTGAAAAGGAATATTCTCAGATGAATTATGAACATACAAAAAAGGATATATATTTATATAAAGCAATACATTGAGAATTCGCATTCTCTATGTGATGAGAATATTTACTCTTTTTCAGGTAATTCAATAGAAAACAACTACTTTCCTGGCTGTATGCCACGACGAACATTGAATTATATCTATTGAACACACACGATAAGAGTTTGAAAATAAAATATAAGAATTTCTGAAATTGAGAATTTGCATTCTCCTTCAGACAAAAAAAAATGTATATACACACATCATTCTGAATATTCAACAGAAAACAACTACTTTCCTGGCTATTTGCCACGTCGAACATTGAATTATATCTGATGAACATTCAAAAGGGAACATGAAAAATAAAGAATAAAATCCTCCGAAATTGAGAATTGACATTCTTCTTCAAATCGGTTGAATAATATGATGAATAATGATATAGAAATATGACTTACCAATATATTCAGCATTGAAATGAAAATTGGAATGTATAGGAGAAGTATACTGGCATGAACTCTGTCTGATCTTGATGAGCTTGAAAACTTCCAAAAATAATCATTCATATCAGTGATATGGAAAATATCATCTCACACACACAGGTTATATGACTTTATTGCAATGAAACCATTTC